CAATGTAAAAGGTGCTCCAAGACAAAGAAATATGGCCCAAATGAAAGTACAGATCAAAACTCCAAAAATAGAACTAAGCCACAAGGAGACAGCCAACCTATCAGATACACAGTTCAGAACATGGGTAATCAGGATGCTCACAGAAATGGTGGAGTAGGGGCGCAAAATAGAGGAAAAAGTGAAGGCTATGAAAAGTGAAATAAAGCAAAATATACAGGGAACAAAGAGTGAAGTGAAGGAAACCGGGACTCGCATCAATGATTTATAACAGAAGGAAGAAATAAACATTCAACCAGAACAGAATGAAGAAACAATTTTAAAAAATGAGAGGATTAGGAACCTCCAGTGTAATATTAAACATTCTAATGTTTGAATCATAGGGGTACCAGAAGAAGAGGAAGACCAAAAAATTGAAAACTTATTTGAAAAAATAATGAAGGAGAACTTCACCAATCTGGCCAAGGAAATAGATTTCCAGGAAGTCCACAAAGCCCAGAGAGTCCCAAAGAAATTGGACCCAAGGAGGAACACACCAAGGCACATCATAATTACATTACCCAAGATTAAAGATCAGGAGAGAATCTTAAAAGCAGCAAGAGAAAAGGAGACAGTTACCTACAAAGGAGTGGCCCATAAGACTATCAGCTGATTTCTCCAAAGAAACTTTGCAGGCAAGAAGGGGCTGGAAAGAAGTATTCAAAGTCATGAAAAGCAAGGACCTACATCCAAGATTACTCTATGCAGCAAAGCTACCATTTATAATGGAAGGGCAGATAAAGTGCTTCCCAGATAAGGTCAAGTTAAAGGAGTTCATCATCACCAAGCCCTTATTATATGGAATGATAAAGGTATTTATTTAAGAAAATGATGAAGATCAAAACTTTGAACAATAAAATGATAAGAAGCTCATAACTATCAACAACTGAACCTGAAAAACAAATCAAAGTAAACAAACAACTAGAACAGGAACAGAATCACAGAGATGGAGATCACACAGAGGGTTATCAGCAGGGAGGGGGTGGGGGAAGAATGAGGGAAAAGGTCCAGGGAATAAGAAACATCAATAGCAGATACAAAATAGACAGGAGGAGGTTAAGAATAGTATAGGAAATGGAGAAGCCAAGGAACTAATATGTATGATCCATGAACATGAACTCAGGGGTGGGGAATGCTGATGGGAGGGGAGGTACAGACAGGGTGGAGAGGGATAAAGGGGGAAAAAACAGGAACAACTGTAATAGCAGAATCAATAAAATACACTTGAAAAAAAACCCCACAAAAGGAGGGTAGTAAACTAATGAATAAGTACATTTGTATTTGCTCTGACACATACAGATTTTCCAGGTGCAAAGTTATGAGGCCTGTACCTTGAACTCTTTGGAAGAAGTGAGCTAAGGAAACCAATTACAAACAGGAAAAACAGTAACAGTAACACGTCATTTACTCAGTGCAGTGGGGTGAACAGTGGCCCGTGTGAGATAAAAAAATATAGATTGGTCTCTACCCCCCAATTCCTGGCCCAGACCTCCTAAAATCTTTGTAACTTCCTAAATGATAAGAGCACTAGGAGCATCCTTTGTTCTAAGGAGGTGACTCTGGTTGGGCTCCTGGGTGGCAACTCACCAGAAAGACCAAGCAATGATAGAAGCTTGGGATTTCTAGCTCCACCTCCTCACACTTCTCAAGGGAGAAATGGAGTTCATAAGCGAGCGTGCCTCTGTGAGGAAGCCTGCACCAAATCCCAGCAGTAGGGGTTCAGGGAGCTCCCAGGTGGGTGAACACAACCACATGCCAAAAGGGTGGCACACCCCAACTCCGCAGAGACAGAGACTCCTGTGCTCGGGACCTTCCCAGACGTCACCCTCTGTACCTCTCCTACTGCCTGTTGATCTGTATCCTTTATCGTGTCCTTTAATACACTGGTAAACATTAAGTGTTTCCCTAAGTTCTGTGAGTGCCGCTCTAGAAAATTAATCAAACCTGAGAAAGGGGGTATGGGAGCCTCTGATTTGTAGCCCAGTCAGACAGAAGTCATGGGTAACCTGGGGGCCTACTACTCGGCGATTGGTATTAAGTGAGGTGGGAGCAGTCTTGTGACTTATGTCAGAATCGAGTTAAATTACAGGACACTGAGCTGGTATTACAGAGAATTGCTTGTTGTGGGAGGGAAAAAAACATCTGATGATTAAAGGGTCAGAAGTGAAGTGTTCTGTGTAGGCGGTAAAGGGGACACAGGAAGGAAAACTGAGCTTTTTCCCAGTATATCCCCCCAAAAGATATGTTCGCACCCTAAACCTTGAAACCTGTTAATGTGACCTTAGTTGGAAAAAGGGTCTTTAGAAACATAATTAACTTAGGATCTCTAGATGAGATCATTGGGATTCCCCAGGTGGGCCCTAAGTCCAATGACAAGTGTCCTTATAAGAGAAAGAAAAGAAAAAGATAGACACAGAGAAGGCATGTGAACTTGAAGGCAGAGGTTAAGGTGATGCAGCCACAAGCCAAGGAACACCAGGAGTCACTAGACGCTAGACGAGGCAAGGAAGGATTCTCCCCCAAAGGCTTCAGAGGAAGTACAGCCCTCTCGCCATCAAGAGCTGTGTTCTAAGCCACTTGGTATGTCGTACTTTGTTACAGCAGCCCCAGAAAAGGAATGTAGCTCCTTTGGAACTACAACAGCCAGCACTGGTGGTTATAACAGAGATCGTGTGGCCCACAAGCCTAAAATATTTACACAACATGTTTGCTGACCTCTGATTAAACATTGCTTTTTTTGTATAGTTGATGATAGTACACTGCCATATCTGCTAGTGAAAAAATAAGTCACCCTGTTAGTATTACCCCCATTTTATGGATGGGAAAACTAAAATAAAGTGAGATTAAGGGATTAATCCAAATATGGTGGCCACCTGTTGCTTTCCCCTGCTGAAACATCCCCTCCCCCTTCTCCAGCACAACACCCTTTCCTTGGGGGACACCTCACCCACGGTCCCCATGGTTTGGACAGGGCACACCTCACCTCCTGGTTCCAGGGTTGGGTATCCACTGTCTTAGTCAGCTGGGGCTGGATATATAACAGATACCACAGACTAGGTGGTTTATAAAACAGAAATTTATTTTCTCACAGTTCTAGAGGCTGGAAGTCCAGCAAAGTCAGGCTTCTGGTGAAGGCTCTCCTCCTGGCCTGCAGACAGTCACCTTCTCCATGTGTCCTTACAAGGCCTTTCTTTGGGAGTGTGCACAAGGAATGATCTCTCTCTCTAACTCTTCTTATAAGGATACTGGTCCTGTTGGATTAGGGCTCATTTTGATGACCTCATTTTTCCTGAACTACCCCCTAAAGGCCCTGTTTCCAAATACCGCTACACTGGGGATTTGGACTTTAACCTATGAATTTTTGAGGGGAGACAATTTAGCCTATAGCACTATCACAGGCCAGGCTAATCAGTGCATTCTCTAACTTGGTCACTTTGAGCGCATGACCCAAGGTTGTCCTTAGGCATGGCATTTGCTGCAACTTTTCAGGCGAGAAAAGCTCATGTTGCACTGAGGGTAATGTGAAGCTAGAGCAGCAAGGGGCATATGGAGAGGATGTGGCAGAGGACAGAGCCAACTTGAAAGAAAGCAGAGCTAGGAAGCCTATGGAGAGTAACTAGATCCAGCATTACTGAAGTAGGATCCCCTACTGCAGATAGAGAGTACTGTCTCATAGCTAATACAGTGGAGATGGGATCTGAAAGTAGGTTTACTTAGCTCTAAGAGGCTCAGCCCACGATTTCCTGGGAGTAATCTCAGTGCTTAACCCAGAAACCATCCTTGGTCCTGATTTCCAGGTAGCAGCTGGGTTCTGAACAATTTTTTTGTTTGTTTGTTTTTTTGCCTTTAACCTTGCTCTTTAATTGATGGTGGGAGCAAGGTGTGCAATGAGTGTAAATAAGATAATTATTTAAATGCAGATTATTTCGAGGAGTAGTCCATAGTTATGCAACAAGACAAAGCTTCCTTGGACTGAGGTCCCAATGTAGGTCCTGACGAAGAACACAGATAAATTCCCAGGAGCTGAGGAGGGGTAATTTCTAGTCCCCTCCCTGAGTCCTGACCCCTGTTCTCTGGAACAGCCCTGACCTGGGCTGTTCTCTGGAGCCCAGGTACCTGTGGCTAAGGCACAGCTCTGCTAAAGCTGGGAGGCCTTGGACAAGCAGCTGAATCTGCCTGTACCCTTGCTTCCTCATCTGAAAAATGGGGTAGCACCCACCCACTTCATAGGATTAATGTGAAGAATGAAGGTGTGTAAAGTGATTAGCCCAGCACTGATACACATTAAAGGCTATTATTCCTAAGGTGGGCACCTCCTCATTGAGATCTCAGAGCAAATGTCAACTCACCTCTGTGACCCATCGCCAGCTCCCATGGGGCAACCCCAACTTTTCACTCCCTCATACAAATTTGTTTCATTCAAAGCATTTGCTGCTGTGGGATCCCTTCTCTTTTGGTTTCCTTTTTCAAAAAAGCTGCAAGCTTTATGAAGGTCAGAAAACTTGTCTATTTTGTTAACTGCTATTTCCACAGCACCTAGCCTCCTACTTAGCACATAGTAGGTGCTCAGTAAATATTGGTTTGTATAAAGAAGGACAGCGGTGTTCTGGCAGGGCCTCTTTCGTTGGGGGCCTGCCACACCACCAATACCAAGCCACCACGACTTGCTCGGGATGGAGAAGGGACAGTCTCGTTGTGAACTCTTTTCTCCTCCTTCTAACTTCCCAGTGTAACTAACTTCTTGTGAGCACAACTCCAGAAGCTCCCTGGACAAGGCCACCGCCCCGGAATCAGGGCCTTTCCAGTTATGCCTTAGGGGAGGGAGAATGGGGGTGGCCCGCAGGAGACCAGTTCCAAGCGCGCCCTGAAGTCCCTCCCGCCGTCCCGCGTCGCTTTAAGGCGGAGGCCTGGGAGGGGGCCGACCCCGCCCGCCGGCTCGGAGCGCGGCTCCAGACTTCGGCATTTCCTCCCCGCCAGCTGGCGCGGCCTCACCTCCCCTCGGAAGAGGAAACTCCCGCAACCCAAGTAACGGGAACGAGCGCGGAGGAGAGCGGCTGGGGGCCCGGCGTCAGGAGGGCCGCCCAGGGTAGGAGGTGGGCCGGGCAGGGCCAGAAGCTGGCCGAGGACAGCACCCCGGAGCGCCGGGTGGGGAGGTCCGCCGGGCCGGAGGCAGCTCACAACCGGCATAGGGCGCGGCCCAGGGCCTGGGAGTCCAGGGCGGGCCGCAGCTGGAAAGAGAACTTGAGCTGGGAGAGGAGGCCGAGCCGGAGGGCGGCTTCCCCCGTCCCTGCGAGGGGGGAGCCGCCGCGGAGACGAAGGAGACCGGGACAGCGGGTCTGCTGGGGCGTTGCGCGCATGCTGGGCCGGGGGCGCCGCCGGGGCTCGCGCCCTGGTCTGCCCAGGCGCCCGGCATGTCGGTGCACTACACCCTCAACCTGCGCGTCTTCTGGCCCCTGGTGACCGGCCTGATCACTGCCATCGTGTGCCTCTACCATGTCCTACGAGGGAGTGGGGGCGCCCGGGCCGATCCCCCGGACGGCGCGGACGATGCGGACGGAGGCTTCCCTCTTCTTAAGGTGTCTGTCTTGCTCCTTCTCGGCTACATCCTCTTACGCTGTCGCCACGCTGTCCGGCAGCGCTTCCTGCCCGCAACTCCCCGCCTGGGAGGTCACTCCGCCTTCTCTCCAAGACACTTCCGAGAGCCGAGCCTTGGCATCTTGCTGGAGAGTTACTATGAGCACGATGTGCGCCTCTCGCCGCACGTGCTGGGCCACAGTAAGGCACACGTGAGCCGGATCGTGGGCGAGCTGGTCCGGGCTGGCCGCGCCCGGGGGTCCCCGGGCCCCATTCCCGGAGGAACACTGGCCTTGGCCTTCCGTGGAGACTTCATCCAGGTGGGCAGCGCCTACGAGCAGCATAAAATCCGCCGGCCCGACGCGTTCGACGTACTGGTGCCATTGCGCCTGCCGCCACTGGTGGCGCTGGAGCCCCGGAGCTTGGGCACCCAGCCCGGTTTGGCCCCAGCCTTCCACGGCTGCTTTGTGTGCGCACTCAAGGCGCCGCCGGGGGCCTCCGGGAACCACTGGCTCCGGGACTGCAAACCCTTCGCCGACGGCTTCTGTGTGGACGTGCGCGGGCGGCGCCACCTCTCGGCCACCCTGGTGCTGCGCTGGTTCCAGTCACATCTGCAGCGCTCCCTGGCCACCGTGCGCTACAGCCTTGAGGAGCGCTGCCGGGTCAGCCTAACCCCAGGCGGGTTGGAGCAGCCTCCCACCCTGCACATCCTGCCCTGCCGCACTGATTATGGCTGCTGCCGCCTTTCCATGGCCGTGCGTCTCATTCCCGCTGTCCATGTGGGCGACGGTGTCTTCCTTGTGGCTCCACCACCGCCGTCCTCGCCCCTCGGGCCCCTGTCTGAGCTCCCCGGAGGACTGCGTGCCGATGCACTGTGGGGCGTGAACACAGCGCGCCAGGAGCAGAAGCTGCTGGGTTGGCTGCAGGAACGGGCCCCTCCAGGTGCCTGCTACCTCAAGTGCCTGCAGTTGTTCAAAGCTCTGAGAGACCTGGGCGCCCACGGGCTGGACCCGGCGGCCGCCGCCCAGTGGGGACGCATCCTGTCCTCATACGTGCTCAAGACGGTGCTGCTTGCAGTGCTGCTTCGTGAGAGGGCTCCGGAGCAAGGCTGGGATGAGGCGCACCTGGGCAAGCGCTTGGAACAGTTGGTGCGGTTTCTTAGGGACTGCCTGCTGCGACGCCAGACACTCTTCCACTGCGTCCTGGGCCCTGGTGGGGCGGCAGCTGAAGTGGGCCCACTGCCCAAGGTACTGCGTGAAGCCGCGCCAGTAGACCTCCTGGCTGCTTTCGATGATCACGCCCGCGAACTAGCGGCCGCGCGGTTGCTGTCCACGTGGCGAAGGCTTCCCCAGCTTCTCCGGGCCTATGGGGGTCCCCGCTACATTACCAGATGCCTCCCACCGCGGAGTCAGCACACCCAGGGGTTCCCGAAAGATGAACCATAAATCCTTACAGTAGCCCTACCGGGCCTAATGCTCCTAAAGCCTCTTCCACCAGGTGGAGGTAGGGGATGGCAATGAAACCAGTTCAACTCCAGGAAGATGAGCTGCAGAAGGTGGTGGAAAATTTGGAGGATAACATTTGGTGGCTTAAATGCCACTCTTGGGCCAACAATCCAGTATAGTTATGGCATCTTTTCACATCCACCAGAGTGTCCTGGTCAGGCTTTGGAAAAACATCCAACAGCAACAGCTAAGAGTTGGTCTAAATGTTGGTTTGTGTGGAATGCTTGTGTGAAAGGATCCGCAGATTTTAGGGAAGTCCAGTTAAGGAAGCAAGAACTAGCAGGAGGGAAAATTCCCTCTGTTGGTTTTTGAGATGCAGATCTCTCTGACCCTCACATTTAAAGAAGTTAATGTTTTTTGGCATAACAACTTGCTGGGTTCCTGATTGTCTTCTTCTAAAATATGAGTATCTACAACTGGAATTGAAGGTCTTTTCTAGGGGCTACTGTTCTGAGGAACATTGTTTCCACTCTTCACGTTAACAGTAATGTATTTTTTAAATGGTACTATCATGGGTGTTTGATGGGATTGTGAAGAGGTCAGTCACACAGGTTGAGAGGCAGTCACGAGTTGGTTAGGGAAGCTCCCAGAGCAAATAGCACTTTATTTTTATCAATTCTTTTGTTTTTGTGGTAATTGCTAGTGCCAAGTGTTGCATCTGAAAGGGAGGCTAACTACATTTACTATTAAGAGATGTGCAGTCTTGAAAAGGTTGCTTTACATCTCTCCAGACACATGCCAGAATGTGTACCAGTCAACGCCCATTCATGGAGTGCATACTGGAAGCCAGAAACAATGCAAAGTAGCATCAAAGTACACGTTTCAGACAACAGTGGTGAGGGCCAAAAAGTTGTTGGGTCTCGAGAAAGATGTACTTTAGTCTTTGCTTATCAAGGAGTCTCACTGGGACTTGCTGCTGGCTGGAGCTGGAAACATTTTTGCTTTAAGGCTTTTAAGCAAACTCCTTTGCATGAGATTTCTTTCTGAGTTTAATGAGATAATGAAGAGGAAATGCCCACTGCATTGCCTAGCATGTAGTTAGCACTCTCAGTGCTCAGTAATGGTTAGTGGTTGGAAAGTTTTTCTCCCATTGCCCAAGCTGCCTATAAGTGGTCCTAAGGCAACTTGGAGGGATGGTTGATTCAGCACAGGTCTTACAAAGAATTCCACTTACGTATATATAGTTCAGTATCTTGGACTCTGTACTTGAAGACAAATGAGTCCCTGATTAGTCAGCAGAGGAGACATGCAGTAGAGGAGAGCAGGAGGAGATGGGTGGAGGTAGAGGGAAATAGCCCATGTCAACAGTCAGCTCCTTTTTGCCTTTGGACAGATATCACCAGGTTGGTTGTATTTTGCAGCCTGGAGGAGCCCATTATGAAATCCCTCCTTGTCCTCCCAAATTTCTAACAGCCCACAATTCCAGGTTTAGAATAGTCCATTATATACTCGCCTAATAGAAGCTGCAGCCAGTCCCTGTGTTATACTCTGCTGTTTTTTTTTGTTTGTTTGTTTGTTTTAAACCAAGACGTGTGCTCCATTAGACTCTTAAAGGTAAAACCTGGAAGACAGAAGTAGCCACCTGAATAGGGCCATTGTTTAACTTCTGAGTTATTTTAAGGGAACTCTTTAAACTTTCTTTAGGGGATCTGCTCAGCCACTGAAGAAAATCATTTTGAATAAATAATTTATAGGAAATCCTCATCACAACTGCAGAGACTTCCTACATACTTTGCAACCTTGGACTGTGAGAGTTGCAAGTGTACTTTCTCTTTGAGGTTGTTTTGGGGAGAGTTCCCCTTGATACCACAAAGATTATTTCTAGCTTTTGAGGTCAGTGTTAGGTTATAAGGTACTGCATTTAGCAAAGGATCAGTCTACCAACTTCCTGCAAAGATATAAACTGCACAGTGTTTTAAAAAAATTGCTCTCTAAATGCCGACAGGAATTAGATCTTATATTGTTTCCTAGTCAGCCACAACTTCCTCTGTAGTCATTAAGGCTACTGGAACCGGGGACAGCGAGGCTCTGGGCAGGATTTTAAAGCTTTAAAAGCTGAATTTTCCAAATATTTCTAGCTGACTTGATATGTTTCTTTTTTATCTTAATAGTGTTTTGAAGTTTAAATTTGATAACATACTGCTTTTGTTATTTTTTTCTTCAGGTTAATTACCCAAAGCCTCATCCATCCTCAAGATTTTAAAATTTTATTATTTTTTTAAATTAATGGGGCATTGTGTTTGTGAATTTTTTAATATTAATATTTTATTTAAATGCCATGCTGAGCAATTGTTCTCTGTACATGGTAACCAAAACTTAAGAGTTTTCGATCAATTTTGATCAATGTTTAGTAATCCCAAACATGTACTGTGTACAAATGAAATAATATGGCATATTAGCCAGGTGTGATGGTTGCCTGAGGCACTTAAGCTCAGTTCTGTATTTTATTAGGGCTCCATCATGACCTTGATCAGAAAAGTACACATTTTTGGTGTATACTTGGTACTGGAGATTCATATTTGCAAATATTCTTATACAGGAAGGCTCAGAATTGCTCTTAAAAAAAAAAAAAAAAAAAAAAGGTTAATTATCCATAGCCAGTGCCCAGAGAAAATGTTTGGGGAAAATGACTCAGCCATTTTGCCACGAGACATCCTTCAGTAACTCCCGCTGACCAGTCCTGGGAGCCGTCCTAGAATGCTCGTGGGCTGAGAGTAGGAGGTGGGTTTTTTGTTCGTTTGTTTGGTTTTTTTGCAAAATGAAACTGAAGTGAAAGAAGGGAGAGTGCGAGTGAACCAAGAGAAATAGGAAGGACTCTGGAAAGAAGACTTACGATGGAAATGAAAGGAAGGAGATACAGGGTGGAAATCATATGTGGGTGGTAAAGAGGTTTGGGTTAGGAAACACATTTTTAGGTATGTGCTATTTCAAAATCAGAGGTCGCAAACTCAGTAGCCTGCAGAAACAAGGTCAAGAAAGGGGGGTGGGCAGCGGGGACTGCTTGTCTCAAGGGCCATTACTCGGCTCCAAGCAGGGAAAGTGGGTACCGAGGGACTGGAAATCTGGATTTTTTAAAAGTGAAGCTTTCTGATTTTTAAACAAAATGCTTTAAAAATGTCCAAAACACCATGTGGGCCAAATAAAAACATTTGGCTGAGCCTGCAGGCCACCAGTTTCTGACCCTTGCCTTACACAGCTAATCCCCCAAGTATGTATAAGGTTATATTTATTGTTATGGATATGATGTTGTTATACATAGTTGGGGGAGTGATATTTAGGTCTTTTTTTATATCTCAGAGCTAAGCTTTATTGTAGAAACAAACCAAAAAAAATTAACACGGCCACAGATAACGCTTAACTCACAGTTCCCAGAAGGACCCTCTATCCTGGAGTTGTTCTTTGCAGTCAGATCTTTCAGCAAAAGCCACTGGGGGCTGGTTCTTGGCATTTCCTTCCTGGTGAGTCAGGCTAAACTCCTAGGCTATGTCGGAGTTTGAAGATGAGTCATCAGGAAGGATTGCAGAATAACTTGTTTCTTTTTTATCTGCATTTTATTCTTATTTTAAAATTAATAATAAAAATTATTTTTAGTAGTGTCTTGCCTGAGCCTTAGCAATGATAGCTGGTGGCCTTGAACACCAGAAAAACAGTGCTGGGCCCTCCGGCCAGTCTCCGTAGGCTTGTCACTGTTTCCATTGCCAAGAACACTGTTCTGATCAGATGTGTCTATCCCTTTCTGACTCTGTGGCTCCCGCCAAAATTGACATCCTAGCTTTCTGAAGGAATTAACCTGCCTGCTTCCAAAGTGTCTCTTTTATCCTCATGGAGTAAATCACTTTTTCTGTAAAATGTGGCTTTTGACCTTGATACCGAAGACTTATTCCCACCCATAAAGAGAGGAAGGCTATTACTTCCCTCCCTGGTAGTGGAAAAAATGAATCTCATTAACATTTCCAGTGTCCCCTGTGAGGGAAAGAAGTTCAGTGTTATCATGTGGCTTTTGTTAATTTTTTAAAAATCACATGTCTGTTACTTAGACCTACTGTTTATTTTTTTTATACCTACATAGCACATGATTTGGTGGGGATAAAGCAAGTATAAACTGGGAGCGGGTGAAGGTATATGTGATCATCTATACAGAGAGAATAGACTAAAACATGCAGCTAAATTACATATAACCTGATTTTTGAAGTATCAGATATTCAGGAATATTTTAGCACCTTTTGCTTTTTAAAAAGTGCCTTCATTTAGTCACTTGACTTTAAAACATTCCTCTTATTTTATTGTGATTTTTTAAAATGTGCGTTTTGACCCCAAACTGTGTATTATGATGTAGTATCTCAACTGCAGTTACAGCATATGTTTTTTTCCAATAACAGAGACCAAAGAGTTAATCAAATATGGTTCAGCTGCTACAGTTGTGTGATTAGAAGGCATTTTAATCACACCAAATTTCCAAGGCCCAAATAGTTGAGGCCTGCCATTTGTTTTCTATTTCAGGTTGGAGTAAATTTGCACTTTTAATCATATGGGTCATTTGGGGACCTTGTTCTTTTATACTTTGCTTTGTTAATAAAGGAACCTGTAGAAACCTCTGGACTGGATGTGAGATTTTGGGAGGGATCTCATTTTCTTGGAGGGCAGCCTGTGGCTGTCCTAACTTACTATTCCTTATGGAAGCCTCACCTGATCTCAGTGTCTGGATATATGGGAGTCTTTTCCCACACAGCAAAGCCGGGATCATTGCTTGTACAGAACTGGCTCCGTACTCAGGTGGGAAGGGATGCCAGTTCATAGCTCTGCAGGCTCACAGCCTGGGGTCCTGCCTTCAAGTCTTTTTTTTTCCTCACCTAGAATCTTCTACCCGTGCCCTTCTTCTGTCCACTGCACCCTCCCTACACACACACATTCATAAATACAATTCAAGTCTTGGCCTGTGGCTAATTTATAGCTCAAGTTTATAGTTCAAAAATTTCACCCAGAAATCTCTTAGGCCCTCGGGCCCCCTCCAGATGGTAAACATTTGCTAATATGAAAAACCACCAAGCTTAGTGAGAAATGGAGTATTGGAGGCTATGTAGGACTCTTCAAAGACTTGGAGCCAGGTGGAAGTTTAGGGAAACTTGTACCCACAGGTTGATTAAACAGTAGTTGTGTAGGACTTTTGCCCAGGGGAAAGCGGGGTGGGGTGTGTTGCCTTTTGTTTTTTAACAAGTAGTTGTTCAGTGGCTACTGTTCTTGGGCATTGAGGACACACGGAGTGATGACCAAGACAGATGTGGCCTCTCTCTGGGGAGCACACAAACCGTTGTGAGAGGCAAAGAGGCGGTCCTCATACGGCGTGGTGGGGGTTGGGTGGGGGGAGCGCTATGGAAACGTGGAAGAGGGGCACCTCCTGCAGCTCAGGGAGAGCTGCTTAGAACAAGTGACGTCTAAGTCGAGATCCAAACATAGGTAGGGATTTGCTGAGTGAAGGGAGTTGGGCTGGAGAAAAATGTACCATGCACAGAAGTGCAAGGAACATTTCAATTTGGCTAGAAAGGGGATATGGGGTGGGAGGAGGCTTCAGTGGCCAAGGATGAGGTGGGAGAGGTAAGAAGGTACCAGGACACGAGACGTCTTGAAGCTAGAGCTTCTCAAACTGCAGTGTGCAAATCTCCTGGGAGTCCCGCTAGAATGCAAGTTCTTCAATTATTTATTTTTATTGATTGATTGATTTTGAGAGAGAGAGGAAGCAAGAGAAACAGATTGATTTGTTGTTCCACTTATGCATTCATTGGTTGAGAATGCAAGTTTAGATTCAGCAGTTCTGGGCTTGACCTGAGACTCTGCGTTTCTTTCTTTCTTTCTTTTTTTTTTCTAAATTTAATCCTTATTGTATTTTTCCATTACCATTTAGTCCCCTTATACTCCACTCCCCCCAGCGATCACCACACTGTTGTCCAGGTCCGTGAGTCGTCCCTTTTCCTTTTTGTTCGGTCCCTCCACCTTCCCACCCCCAGCACTAGCTGCCATCTGCTCTTCATCTATGAGTTTGTCTCTGTTTTGCTTGTTAGTTCGGTTTGTTCATTAGATTCCACATATGAGTGAAGTCACATGGTATTTGTCTTTCTCTGACTGGCTTATTTCACTTAGCATAATTGTTCTCCAGGTCCAAAGACTCTGCATTCTAACAAGCTTCCAGGTGATGGCGATGGCGGTGGTCCAGGGGCCATGCTCAGGTTGCAAGGCTGTAAACCACACTGCAAGTTTGGACTGATTCAGAAGATACCAGATGGGCAAGGAATGGTGGGGTTAACATTGGAGTTTAGCTCACTCAGGCTGCAAGATGGAGAGTGGCATTAAGCAGGATTGGCGAAAGATTTATTTTTACATATTTTATTTATTTACATTTTTTGTATATAAAGTTTTATGGGAACACAGTCACGCCCATTCAGTTACATACCGTCTCTGGTTGCTCTTACCTTATGTCGGCAGAGTTGAGTAATTAGGACACAGCACTGAAAATATTGACTCTCTGGCTCTCTACAGAAAAGGTTGGCTGGAAGTAATCAAACTGGAAGTCATCGGATGCTTCAGTGAGCCAGGCCCGAGTGGGGCCGGGTGAGGGGGTCTGAAGTAGGGACAGAGGGACCAGTTCCCCAGATAAAGAGCAGTGCCACAGTTAGGGCCAGCACTTTAATGTCGAGACTTCTCATCTGTGTGCCTCTTTGCAAGTTACCTAATGCTCTCTGAATCTCAAGTCCCTCCTCTGTAAATGGGGTTCATAATAGAACGTTTCTCATACGAGTAATTTGCGATTAAGTGAGCTCGTGCATACAAAGTGCTTGACACATACTCATATTAAGCACCCAGTACAAGTCAGTATAGAAGGAATTATCAGAATGAAATTGTCATTTAGTCTGTGTCTGCAGCCTCTTCCTCTGTTCCCTTTGCTACTCATTCATTTTCCACTGTGGGATTATTTCTAGTTTGTCCACCCAGCCATCTCTGTTACCCAGATTTGTTCATCTCTTTCCTTGATGCCTATGGTGTTCCCCTCTATGAAAAGCTCTCAGTCTGGGTACTATGGTGGACTGATTACAAAAATAGTCCCTGTTCTCCAACCCTTCCTATACCCCAACCCTTTGCAAAATGACTTTGCAGTCTCTCCCATCAAAAAGGGGGGATGGGAGGAGGACCTTTGCCTACCTCTTGAAACTGGAATGGCTTTGTGTCTTTCTTTAATCAATGGAAGCAGTGGCACACATTCTGTTGTAGCATAATATACTATATTTTGCCATGTATAATGCATTCCTGTGCATAATGTACACCCATGTTTTTGTGCACATCATACACGGGATTATTATACCCATGTTGTGTAATCATTATATCCATGTATAATGTGCATCCTTATTTTTCACTCAGAAATTTGGGGAAAAAACTGCTCATTATATGCAGCAAAATACGGTAATATAAATCAATATAATACCACAATAGACATTGTGCTGGTTCCTGGCCTAGACCTCAAGACACCTCGCCTGTTCCTGACTGTTCTCCTGGAAGCCTGCTATCACCATGTGAAGATGAGAGACCACATGACCCAGCCAGCCCTTTCACCAGAGCTGATAGCCAGCCACCTGTCAGACAGGTGAGTGAGGCCATCCCAGACCAGCCCCACTGTCCCTTTCTCCCCCACAGCTGAACATGTCAACAGACTGAAACACTTGTGTGAGCCCATCTAAGACCAGCTAAACTTGGCCCAGGTCAGCAGAACCACTCAGCTGTACCATAGCAGTAATAGACATTGTTTTAAGCCATTGAGTTAGTAGTAGTTTCTTGCTCAGCAACAGCTAACTGATTTGGAAGCTTTAAAAAAAACCTGGCAGGCTAGGGCTGCCACTGGAGTAAATACAGGCTGTCCTTCGTTTCTGAGCATTTGACTTTCAAACAGCCAGACTTTGATACAAGCACTTGACTGACAGTGGACCACCTTCCCCACAGTGAACCCAGGTTTCCCTTCTCAGCTGAAGCGCAGTGGGGTGTTGGCCTCCCATCTGATGGTTGGTGGTGGCAGTATCGCCATCTTTGAGCAGTGTGTTTACACAGCTGTTGGACCATGTTCCTGTATTTGCCCTTATCTTGTAAAAGCAAATAGAAGCTGCAAAAACTAAAGTGCTGATTCAGGTGACGAAGTGCCACAGGTCTCAAGGGTAATACAATTAAGACACTGATTCAGTATCCCTAACGTGGCTAAGCTTCAGCTTTAGGAAGCTGCTAGCTGGTGTTAAGCTGGTGGTCGGTGTGTTCACCTTTAAAGTAACAGAACAACAGTGATGAAGGCCATTTAGGAAGTGGTATCACTTAGGAATACATTTGGCCACAACTTACAAAAACCTAACCTATTGTGACAAACGGAGGCTTATATTTCCTTGTCAGCCAGAGGCCTGGTGGTAGGCAGCCAGCAGTGTAGGGATGAATCGGGGCATTGTTTTGCTCTGCCATTTTCATTTTATCCTTCTTTTCATTTTTAGCCTTATGCTTGTCATGTAAAAATCCCACTGTGGCTACTACAGGCGTGGAGAGGAGAAAATGGATTAGGGAACACCATAGACTTCCTCTTACGTCTCATTGGCCAGAATGGTGTCACATGGTTACACTTAGCAGCAAGGGAAGCTGGGAATGAGTGCCTGGCACCTGTCATACAGCGGCCCTGAGCAAAATATGCAGGAAGAGTGGGTATTTGTGGGTAAATAAGATTCTGCCACGTAAATGCAAGAAATAAATAGCAGATTATGTCAAAGAAGTGAGAAGTAATTAGAGAATTTATAGTACCATAATTACATAATTTATACTTGCCTAAATTCTACCATATAGTAAATTCTCCATAAATGTTAGGATTGAAGTATCTGCTCAACCATTCATTGGCCATAATCTTTTGGGCAAGTTAGTTAACTTATCTAGACATCAGTTTTCTGATCTGCAAAAATGAGGGTGATAGTACTTCCTTTTATAGGTTTTATTGATTTGAGAGAGAGAGAAAGAGATTTTTTATTCCATTATTTATGCATTCATTGGTTGCTTCCTGCATGTGCCCTTACTGGAGATTGAACCCAAAACCTTAGCATATTGAGACAACGCTCTAACCAGCTGAGCCCTGCTCCGGAATCCATTTTTCAAGAGGATTACCCTTGGGCAGTCTGCCCAGTGCCTCCCCATCATGAAACTTCCCTTCCCACAGGACTGCAGTTGTGAATATTTGTTGTACATGTTCCCAGAAGGGAGGATCACCCCCATATCTCTTTCTTTCTTTTAAATCTTGTCTCCTTATAAGTTTTCTCCCCATTTCATTTCTCATATGAAATTTGATTTGCATTGCTTGAGTCCTGGAAGAAAGTTCAAGCTAGTGGTTCTCAATCCTGGACCTATGATACTATACAAGGGGATTTGTAAGATTATCCATGCTCATGACTCCACTCTGGCCAAATGAGGTCAGGGACTCAGGGGTTACAGCCCAGGCATGGGTGCTTTTTATAGCTCCATGGATAATTCTAGAATGCAGCCAAGGTTGTGAACCACTAATGTAGGTAAGATGGCC